CCCGCCAAAGGGTGGAGGCCCTTAAGGTCTTCCTAGTAAGTTCACCTCTATCCCCCAGCTAGTAAATGTGTCCCCAGAAAAGACCTCCCCAGCAGTGGCATGTGATAAATGAGCCGCAGACCCACTTGGGTTTTCACTTTATTTTGGCTTCCCTTTGGCCACCTGTGGCCAGACCCAGTTATTTACGACCTCTTCCTGGGACTGGCTCCCAGTTTGCACTCCATCCTGCTTCCTTCAGAGAGAGAGGGGTGTCAGTGAGGTCTCTTATAAATATCCATGGAGGATTCCGGACACAAAGGGCTTCTTGGCCCCAGGGGAAGGTTCTGGTTTTACCAGCCCCGCCCATCCGGTGTTTGAGGACTCCCGGCATTTTTCAGGGCCCAGAATCTTGGTTTTCACCATGACATTTACAGAGCAGCTAAGCCTGCCCACTGAAAAGCATCCAGGGCTTGGCGGGCAGTAAGGAGGCTCCAGCAGCCTCCAGTAAATAAGATCTCCAGCAGCTGGCAAACACTGTCGGACATTAAATGTCACTGCGGGCTTTGTTTGGTTTTAAATTGAAAAATTGCTAGAGTTATGAGAGCTTACAAGCTTTGCCCGGCGAGAATAATAAATCCCCTCACCTTTTCCTTTTCTCTGCTTTTCCCCCACACACTATTTTACTAGGGAACGGCCAGCCTCCCCCACACCTCTGTCTCAACCCTCCCCCCTACCCCATTCACACTGTAATGGGCCCCCAACAGCCACGGAGCCCATGACCAAGAGCATGTTTCCAGAACTCCACTTGCTGGCGAGAAAGAATGTACCACCATTACTAATTCAAAGCAGATCTGACCTAGCTACAGACCCCTACGCACATTTTCCCAGGATCCTCTATCCTCCGTTTTTTCTTCTCTTCTTAAAAGGAACGTTCTGGCTTATTTGTGTACGAACATCCATCACCAGCAGAATCCTAGTCCGGGTCTTAAAACCAGAAGGGCACTCAAGGGCATTGGGTCTAGACTCCGCCTTTAAGCCGACCAGTTCCCATTCCCATTGTCCACGTGACACAGGGGAAGTCCAGAGAGTAGCTTGTGCGAAGTCCTCCAGAGAATAAGCCCAGAGCTCAGATCCGGGGCTCCTGCCCCTTTGCTTTCCTTTCTCCAGTAACATGCCCCTCGCACCCCCCACCCCCACCCCCTGCACCTGAGATCAGACCCCAGAACCAGAGAACAGCTCTTCATTTCTTCCTTCCTTTCCACTGCCAGCCTGGGATCGAGTTTTCTCATATACGGTTTCATCAATATAGGTAATCCAAATGGATCATCATTCTTGGGTTCGGCCAACTCCCTTCAGCTGGCATGATTCCACCGTGGAGTTAGGACGCCCTGCTCTCCGTGCAAGTATGCACATGAGAGCGCTGGTGTGGGGTGATCGGGGAGGACCCAGCCCTCCGATTCCATTCGCTGGCATTTAGGTCAGAAGTGGGCAGGGTCTTGGATGTTTTATGAAATGACTCTCATCCAACAGGCTTGGAAGCAAACGACTGCCAAGAAGACCAGGGCCCACAATGGTCTCAGAGTAGCTGAGACCTTGATTGTACCCCATTTGTCCCCACTTAGGCTTTTTCTGCTCTTTTGTTCTAATCTTGAGAGGAGGAAAAAACAGGTCAAATGGAAAATTCCCTTTTATTATGTAAAATCAGAGGTGACCCTAATAGGTCTGTCTTCCCTAACCTTTCCTTGGGCCTCTTTGCTTCTGCGCATTGCTGGATCTCCTCGGTTCTAAGTATGAAGTTGTGTCAGGTGGGACGTAGCTCTCCAGTGCTGTAGGCAAGACACTTAACCCTTTCTGATTCCTGGTTTACTCATCTGTGAAACAGCCCTTAGGGCTCTTTAGGAATTAATCGCCAACAGATGCAAAGAACATGGCGGTCTCCGCCAAGTATCATCTCCTTTTCTGCATCTCCTGATGATATTACTGCATTTGTTTTTCACTCAAAGTAAGGAATTTACATTAGAATGAGGGGAGGCAGCCTCTATAATGACAGTTTTTTGAAAAGATAAACCTCTAATGGTGGAATCCAAGCCTCCGAAACAAACCCAAGAAGAGGCTAGGCAACGTAGTCACAGCAGGTAAGGTAGCCCGATGATACACGGGTTCAGGAGGTTCAAGGAACAAAGGGTCAGAGGACCTAGTAAGCAAAAGTCACAGGGGAAGCAGATTTAATTTTAATAGCTTCCTCTGTCTTTCTTCCTGTGTGGAAAGGCCCCTATACACAGCAAGTCTGTGGTTAAACTGAGCACACATTTATTGAGCTCCTACTGACCCTAAACTATTGAAAATGCTTTCATTTCCCCCTTGCCCTCCCCCACTGAAGCCTACCCCACTCCTTCGCCCCCTTCATCCCATCCGCTCCCAATGCTTCCACCCACACACCACCACTGAGTCGCAGCGGCCATGACTGTGTGGTCTGAACTGACGTCCTGAGAAAGGCTCCCCTTGGGGCCTTCACAGGCGCCGAGAATAACCAAGCTAGCGGGGACGACCCCACCCTACCCCCTAAGAGACACTGGCAGAGACAGACACGAGGCTATTTCGCTTACTCGTCACCTTCCCACTGAAGGTATTTCCAGAGCATATCTCTGGTGATGAAAGAGCCAGTCAGGAAGATCCATGACCTTCCTCGCAGCCCTCCCTGAGGTGAAGAGATCACCTCCAGGGAGCCACTTCTCCATTCTCGCCTAAACCTTAACAGCAGACAAGTTCTATGGAGAGGCCAGTCTCCCTCCTAGCTTCCCAGATGTCCTTCCTTTCAGCCACGTGCACATTTTTCTCTTTGGAAGGGTGAATGAAGGGGGAAGGAACTGTGGTTTTAGCATGTGGGAAACTCGAGTCCATTAAAGATGGCTCCTGGCTCCTAAAATCTATGCTGATAGATGTCAGAAGCATTGTCACTGCCATGTGGAACAGTTTTTAAAAGTGTGTGGGCACTTTGGCCTTGGACCTCTGCATCAGCACTTGTCACTCTGCTCTGACACCGAACCCAACAGCATTCCTCGGTCCCAGTCCCTTAGCTCCAAGACTGGACATGAGGCATCAGTGTGTACTCCACAGAACGTGAGAGGCTGAGTGGGCTCTTAGCAAGATTGACTCCCATCTCCCTACTGGGGACCTTCTGGCCAGACATGCCCACCTTTGTCAATGGGCAGTGAGTGTCCTGCATCTGGAAAATGCCCTTCACTGATAAACACACTGGGAAAGGTAGCTGGGCCACGCGTACACAGTCAAGTTCAAATTTCTCTGCATGGCCGTACATGGTATCCATTTTTTGCCCCACTGTTCACCAATCCCTGCCTCCCACTCTGTGCTCCATCAGTGCCACATCACTCCTAGGTCCCCACACTGCTGGCTGCCTCAGTGCCTTTGCACGTGGCCTTGATTGGAAGGTCCTGTTTCCTTCTCTACCTATATCTCCCTACCAGTTATGATTCAGCTCAGCTATCACTGCCTTTGGAAGCTTGACTAGAGCCACGATGAAGAATGTGGTGGCCTCCCCAACCCAGCCAACCTAGAGTCAAATCTCTGTTCACTCTCAAGTCACCTTACCTCCCCACACCTCAGTTTCCTCATCTATACAACAAGAGTGATAATACCAAAACTTCAAGGTTAGAGAGCATAAGAAATAAAGTGCCTGGTGCAGTGGCTGACATACCGTACCCATGCAAATTCAGTTGCCATTTTCATTATTTCCTGATTCGTCCACTCTAGACTAGGATGGGTGCCTCTTTCTATCACTAGCCTTTCATTTTATTTTTTAATATTTATTTTTTATATTAAATATAATTAATTGTCAAATTGCTTTCCATACAACACCCAGTGCTCAGCCCAACAGGTGCCCTCCTCCATGCCCATCACCCCCCTTCCCTTCTCCCCCACCCCCCATCAACCCTCAGTTCGTTCTGAGTATTTAAGCGTCTCTTATGGTTTGCCTCCCTCCCTCTTGGTAATTTTTCCCCCTCCCCTCCCCCATGGTCTTCTGTTAAGTTTCTCAGGATCCACATATGAGTGAAAACATATGATATCTGTCTTTCTCTGCCTGACTTATCTCACTTAGCGTAATACCCTCCAGCTCCATCCACATTGCTGCAAATGGCCAGATTTCATTCTTTCTCACTGCCAACTAGTATCCCATCGTATATATAAACCACATCTTCTTTATACGTTCGTCAGTTGATGGACATTTAGGCTCATTTCAGAATTTGGCTTATCTCTACGAGTAGGGTAATAAAATAACCAAGGTCACAACAACAGAGAGCAAGTAACAATCTCCAAAAGAACACCTCCTGAAGGGCCAGGCCCTGGACAATGTATGACCCTCCTTTAATATGGCAGTGCTCACAGGTGCAGAGCACACAGCACTATCCTTTTATATCTGTGTGCTATTTTTTGATCTATTTTATTGAAGTATAATTAACATACAATAAAATGTATCCATTTTAAGTGCATGGTTTGATGCGTTTTGACAAATGTAGACACCTGTGCATACCGGTGCCTACGGAACATTTCTACCACCCCTCATGATTTCCCTGTGCCCCTTCCCAGTTAGTCTCTTCACCCCCTCCAGGCCCAGGCAACCACTAAGCTCTTTCTATCGCTAGAGATTATACTGTCTTTCCTAGGGCTTCATATAAACGGGATCATACAGCATACACTCCCTCCTGTTTCTTCACTCGACATCATGGATTGAGACCCTCCGCGGGCATCAGTAGTGGGTTCCTTACTGTGATGCTTTAAACTTTGTATTATAAATTATGTGATTCCTCCACTGGACTGTGAGGCCCTCGAGGATTCCTTCTTCCTCTTTGGTTCCCAGTCAGGCTCTCCGTAAATGTTAGAGGGAAGAAGGGAGGAAAGGAGAGAGGGAGTTGTCACGGGGATTGGCTAAGACCTTGGCTGAAACCTTGCCTCTGGGAGGCAGTACTCACATCCCCAGCAGAGCCCCATCCACCAGCACTTACAGCAACCAGTCCACAGCCACCAGCAGGCTGATGTCCTCCGTTGGCAGGCCCACGGCCGTCAGGATGAGAAGCATGGTGACGAGGCCCGCGCTGGGGATACTGGCCGCACCGACGCTCGCCAGCGTGGCCGTGAGGCTGAGAGAACAGAGAAGACCAGGTCACAGGAGAAAGAGGACTTGGAAAAACCATCCCTGGCAGGCAACTTGAAGCTCCAATTTTCCCGGCAGTCATAAAGGTTCTTTTCTTTCTCAAGGAATGGAGAAATCTAGAGTACTGAGACCCAGGAATTAGGGTCTATTGGATTCTACTCAACTGTGATGGAAATTTATAAATCCATGGATCGGAGCCTTATCCTCAGCATGATAGCCAACTAGCCTAATATATCACAGGGCTCAACTAAGGTAAGCGGGGCTCTGAAGCAGGCAAGGAAATAATAAAGGAGGAAAACAAATTGCCCTTAATCCTCCCATGGGAACATCACTGCATTCATTTCTGCTTACGCCTTTACCTCTCCGTCAGCCCCAGAGACATCTGGACTCTGAGGCAAGAGTCCGAGGAGGCCACTGCCAATGTTAACATGAGAACTCACAATAGCAAATAGCCAGACCCAACTGAGTGGACATGAGGGAAACAAATCAACAGATTCCAAATGACATTAAGTTTGAGACGCCTGGACATTTCACCATGGACTGGAAAATACATTATTCAAAACGAGGGCGCCAAAAAAAGATAATGAAATAACAGGAGGCTTTCTTTCTGAAGCATCTCACCACTTGCAATGCCAAGGGCACACCAAGCACCATTTTGAAGTTGTCTCTGGAAGAGGGTTTCATCTAGGGCTCGAGCGCCCTGTCTAGACACCAGGGGGTCTCTGTGGTCCAGCAAAGGGCAATAACCTGTCTCCCTTTTTTCTGGATGCCATTTACAAAAGTCGTCATTTCTAAATGCAAAGATGCTTCTGAAAATATAGACTCCCAACTTGCTTTTGTGGGTGCTGTAAAGAAAAGGAGGGGCTTTATTTGCAGTTAGATCATTCTAGACTTTCTAGAGTAGGCCAGCTAGCTCCAAACTAAGAGCTGGGCTCCCAGACCGGTTTGACAGAGCCCAGACCATTGTTGTGACCAAGCACAGAATCCTTACAGGTCTTACAGTGGGGAGGGACCTGAATTTACCTAATCTTACCTATGAGGAAAGGCCCTAGGAGGTTTCGTAGTTTACATTGGTTTTTCCATAGTGCCATCCTTCCAGATTTAGACCTGTCACCATAGAGACACCTCCCCTAGGTGGGGTCTACAGAACCCATCTGTGCTATTCCCCTGCCCCTTCATTGCGGAGCTGGTGTTAAGGCTTCAAGAACTCCGTATTCCTGGGATCCTTCTGGGTCATAGGAGGTAGTAATATTAGTGGTTATCAATGAGGATTATGGGATTAAACAGCCTGGATTCAAACCCCAGCTCTTCCAATGATTAACCGCATGACTTTGAGCAACTTACTCAACCTCTTTGTGCCTTGACTCCCTTATCTGCAGCAAAGGAGATAATAATGGTGTCTCACTCATGGGGTATCAGGAGCTAATAAATAAAAAGCACTTAGAAGAGGCCAGGCACATTGCCACCGCCCAGTAAATGTGAATTGTCTTATCAGGAAATCTGGGCAGGGTGAGGTCACTTTGCAATAAAAACTTCTCTAAAGCCCCAAGAGTTACAAGGTGGGAATTCTCAGCCATTTCCCTGACAAGGACAACAACACTAGGAAAGGGGGACTTCCCAAATCCCAACAGTCGTGGCCTCAGCCGTTTTATTTACAACATCAGTTGCTTCTGTTATGAGTCACTCTGACACATCCCTTTGCACTTTGGCCACACGGTCTGCCTGGTCCCTCTGGGTTGTGTGAGACGAAATCCTATAAAGAGAATTCTTCCTGGCAGTTGGTTCCCCCACACAGTCCCTCCATCCCAATTAATACCCTCATCCTACCATGGGCAGAGTGTCTGGGTGATTCTAAGTCCTGCGACCGCTTCTTGGGGCAGTGATCTCCTCTCCATCTCTCTATCCCTTTCTGCTTTTCCTGTCGTGCCACTCACTAGCCCACTTCTCTGAGGCTGGTTCTTGGATTCTATGCAAGGTATGACACACACATTGTCACAGCAGAACTGCACAGTAACCCTGCCAAGTACCTATGGTAGCATCTGCGTTCCATCTGGGCAAACCACAAATTGGATGGATGGAGAAACTTAGGGTCAAACAGGTTGACCATGGTCTGCTGGGATTGGAACACTTATCTGCTGGATTGCAATGCCATGCCGGCCCCTGAGACCCCCCTCCCCCCCCATCCCTTCCAACACCAAAAACTCTGAATTAATCAATCCCGATCATTGGTCGCTGGTCCATTCTTCCATCTCTTAATTTTTCATCTAACAGTGTGAACTTGACGGGCCAAGAATTCAGGGACCAGAATTCATCTTGTTTGGCTTTAAAAGAAGGGCTTTGTTAGGAAGCCCTGTTTGTCTCTGAGTTTTAAAGCAAGAGAGGTTGGTGGTCTCACGTGCAATCTGTGAGAACATGATTGAGAAGCTGTGACACCCGGATCTGAAGCATGTTTTCCACTGAGTAACAACATCATGGTACTCACTACATCACTGTCACATTGTTTTTTTGTATTCTAGAAGAACTGTATTTTATTGAGCATCAGTAATAACGATAATAGTAGCTAACATTTATTGATAGGTGACTGTGTTCCAGGCACAACGCTCTCAACCCCCTAGAATGTGTGATTATTGTCCCCATCACACCAGTGAGGAAACTGAGGCTCCCCTACAGTACTGCTGTGGACTGATCGGTGTTCCCCCGCCACCAAATTCGTTTGTTCAAGCCCTAATCTCCAGGGTGATGGTGTCTGAAGACACGGCCTTTGCAGGTAAGTAGATCATGAGGGCTTAGTGCTCTTATCAGAGAGACGTAAGAGAGCTTGCTCTCTCTCCATGCACCAAGGAAAGGCCAGGCAAGCAAACAGCCTGCAGTCATGCACAAGCCAAGAAGAGAGAGTCACCGGGAACTGAATTTGCCAGCACCTTCACCTTGGATTTCCCAGCCTCCAGAACTGTGAGAAATAAATATGTATCATTTGATGGTCTATGGTCTTGCATTATAGCAGTCTGAGCTAAGACAAGTATGGACCTTGAGGGTGGTTGTAAGGATTAGACAAATTAATATATGCACAGAGGTGTGACTTTAAGTTTATGGAGAAGCAACGTGGTTGCTTCATTCATTCATTCATTCTAGACAGAGAGAAAGTTAGAGTTGGGGAGAGGGGTGGGGGGGGAGAGAAAGAGAGAGAGAGAGAGAGGAAGAGAGAGAATCCCAAGCAGACTCCACACTTAGTGTGGAGCCTGACGTGGTGCTTGATCCCATGACCCTGCGATCATGACCTGAGCTGAAATCAAGAGTCAGACGCTCAACCACCTGAGTCGCCCAGGTGCCCCAGAAGCTATGTGTTGTTTTTCAAAATTTATACCCAAGTTAGTTAGTATATAGTGCAATATGATTTCAGGAGTAGAATCCAGTGATTCATCCCCTACATATAACACGCGGTGCTCATCCCAACGAGTGTCCTCCTTAACACCCATCACCCATTTAGCCCATTCCCCCAGCCATGACCCCTCCAGCGACCCTCAGTTTGTTCTCGACATTTAAGAGTCTCTTGTGTTTTGTCCCCCTCCCTGTTTTTGCTTCCCTTCCCTTACGTTCATCTGTTTTGTATCTTAAATCCCATGGACGAGTGAAGTCACAGGATAATCGTCTTTCTCTGACTAACGTCACTTAGCATAATATACTCTAGTTCTATCCATGTTGTTGTAAATGGCAAGATTTCATTCTTTTTGATAAAAGCACTGTGTTTTTAATGTCCTCTTGGGAAGGTGTTCTTCCCGAATTTCTTTTTTTCTTTTTTAAATGTTTATTTATTGATTTTGAGAGAGCATGAGCTGAGAAGGGGTAGAGAGAGAGGGAGACAGAGAATCCCAAGCAGGCTCCATCCCAGCATGAGACCATGACCTGAGCCGAAGTCAAGAGCTGGACGCTTAACCAACTAAGTCACCCAGGTGCTCCTCTTCCTAAATGTCTTAAACAATGAATACATAGGGTAAAAAACAGATTTAGTATACTTGTTAGCTATTTGTAATAAAATGGTTTATACGCTATTGAGGAATCTCTTCCTTCCAGTATTTCATCATTTCTGCCATCACCCTCTGAAATGCTGAAGGGAACGTATTTTAACAAAAGGAAAACTGGATCCAGAGTCAGCTGATATCGGCCCCAGTGACGGCCCTCCCGGCTCATTAATGGGGCAGCTTTGGACAAACCGCCATGCTCCTTGAAGCCTGTGCTTCCTCATCTATTAAACAGACAGAGAAAGGGGCGCCTGGGTGGCGCAGTCGGTTAAGCGTCCGACTTCAGCCAGGTCACGATCTCGCGGTCCGTGAGTTCGAGCCCCGCGTCGAGCTCTGGGCTGACGGCTCAGAGCCTGGAGCCTGTTTCCGGTTCTGTGTCTCCCTCTCTCTCTGCCCCTCGCCCGTTCATGCTCTGTCTCTCTCTGTCCCAAAAATAAATAAACGTTGAAAAAAAATTTTTTTTAAATAAAAAATAAAAAAAAAAAAACAGACAGAGAAATAACTGCCTTGCAACATCACAGGACCGTGAAAAATCAAGTAATATCAAATTTCCAAAGCGATTTCACATGCGCAGTACAAACAGTGGGCATGAGTATGAGCCTGCTTCTTTCCTGTCACAATATTTTCCCTTTGACACAGCCAATAATTCCTCTTCTGTGTTATTTCCTTCATTCTTCCACCAGGAGAACTGAAATCCAAGTGGCCCTGTCAAATGGAGTCAGTGGGGAAGGGACGAAGGTTAAATGTTGTTTCGTGCTTCCCCACCTGCACCCCTCACCTCACAGTCACAATCTGGCCTCCATCCAAGATAACACCATTCATTTGAGCAATAAAGATGGCGGCCACTGCTTCATAAAGGGCTGTACCGTCCATGTTGATGGTTGCTCCAACTGGGAGGACAAATCTGGTTACACGCTTATCAATCCCCAGGTTTTCTTCCAAGCAACGGAAGGTAACAGGCAAAGTTCCCGCACTGAGGAACAAAGACAGAAAGAGAGAGACAAGAGTTTATGTCCACTTTAGAGAAACAGGACAAAACTCAAACTGGAATGCCAACCACAAAGTTTTTGTTCGTTTGTTCCAATCAGGCCATGTGACATGCAGAAAGCAGTGTTTGGAGGCAAATTAAAGACCAACTGTTTGGAGGTTCAAATTCAATCTTATTAAGATGCTCATAGGCAGCAAGCTCTTTTTGTTGCTTCTGGTTTTCAAGATCTACTTAGAGTTTCACATTCTTTTTCCTTTGATCAGTGTTTCCCTCTTGGATGAAATATTAAAGGCCATCTGACTGCCCACATTAATTGAGCTGCTAAAAAAAAAAAAAATGTGTCAGGAACCAATCAGCTGTCAACAGTGAAATGGAATGAGGAATTTTTGAATGACCCATAATTTCATGCTAGGAACACTGTTTCCAACGATGCATGGACTGCATCCAGCCTCTGGGAATTGCCCTGAGCTAATTTTGACAATGCTGGATAAACATGTTAAGTACCAGTTAGCCTGAACCTGAGCTTCTAGCAATTCACTGGGGACCCCTATACACAATCCAACTCCCTAATACATGGTCATTGGCCAACTGTACAGTCTTTCCAACAACATAGGGCAGAAAAGCATGTGCTCTGTAGCTAATCAAAGACCCAATATGGAATGACTCCACCCCCACTCCGCCCTGGAAATTCCTGTCCGGAACTCACCACCGCATGACCCAGCCTCAAGGGCCAGAACCCCTGACATGTTCGTGTGTCTTCTAAATTAGGAGACCTGTAAGGATAAGGGTTGCTGATGGCCAAAATATTATTTCCATGTGGAGGGAGGTACATGGGAGGGTAGGTGGATTTGCTTCCAAGTGTAAGTCATATGGAAAGAAATGCAGAACGCCCATACTGCCATGCGAGTTCTTTGCGGTCCTTTCTCTTTTGGGGTGTTTTTGGTTTGGGGTTTTTCTGTTTGGTTGTTTTGATTTTGTTTCTGGTTTTTTTGCTTTTTTGCTTTTTTTTTTTTTTTTTTCTATTCAAAGCTTAGTGAAGTGAACTGGGGAACCTCCAATGCAGACACACTTCTTTCTAGCATGCACGGACAGCCTCATAGCTTCCTCCTTCTACTGGTCAGAACCAGGGCTCCCGCCGAGTTTGACACAGACCCTTGCCAGAGGTCTCAGTTTCTCAGAGAGTAGTAGAGAGCCACCAGCTTCAGAAAAGCTAAAGAGAATGCAGATTCCAGGGCCTACTCAGAAACAGGAAGCAGAAGCTCTAAAATTAGAGTCGCCTAAATCTGCATCTTATTAAACCACTGATGAACAAGCTCCTACTAACAATCTTAGGGACGTCAGCGTCATCTTATGGCAATATTCTTTGTGATTTCAAGTCAGAGGTCTGTCTTACGCCTCCTCCTTGCTCTTAGGGAGAAGAAATGACTGTTTGGAGACCTCTCATTACTAACACCTTATAAACCCAGGGAGAAAAGTTGAGGCCATTGTATTTGGTTAGCTTCTCCAGCTATTTTAATGAGACATTAGTGTCCCTTTATTCCTCCCACCCCCAGGCCCTCCCCACCCCACCCTTTCTTAGGACCCCTTTGAAGGTTTCTAGGACACCATGACTAGTCTGAAATGGCAGCTGTGGTTGGTGGCTGGGATTTTCAATGATAGGAATCTAAGCAAACTTCTGGGCGGACGAGAATATAATAATTTTTATTATGGTATTCATCTTCCCAAAATGTCATCAAGAGGTCTTTGGACAATTAAATAGATTAGGGAAAGTAATTGACAAGGTATGAAAATAGTCTCAATTTCTTTACTGAACGGGCTTTGTGTCTTAAAAGTCTATATATACCCAACCAATTCAAACTGGGACTTGGGAGTTTTAACTCTTTCCTGTCCTTCCAACATTCTGACATGGATGTCTTCATGTGTTGCTAATAATAAGTCTTCAAATGTTGCTAATAATAACTATCAGTTACTTGACCGTCTTTTTTTTTCTAGAGTAGTTTTAATAGCATGCACTGATGTCAGGAGGATGCAGAGACATGTGTCCCAGGGCACCCCCTCTGTTAGTCCTCCCTGACATCAGCCTGTTGAGAAAAGGGGGTGACCCCTTCCCCTTCTCCATCAGTCCAAGGTCCAAGGAGGTAGAAAGAAATTTAGCTGACTGTACTGGGGTTTTGTTTTTTTTCCCTGTGGTCACAATGGCTGAGATAGTTCTTAGTATGTGATTCATGCCACAGTTTTTTCTTTAAGAGTATTTTCTTCTAAAAAATGAAATTCTGCATCCAGGAAAGAGCCACACTTTAAACAAAGATTAAAGTCACTTGAAAGACAGGGTAAGGAGAAGGGTCTAGCATCTGTGGCCTTGGCCAGATAACCCAAGCGTTTGGCTGATTTAAATATGAACTTGGGCTACCAATATGCTTTTAACATTTACTTTGTCTTGTAAAGGCACTAGGGATAACTATCTAGTCGTTCAAAGGAAAGATAATAATATTTTTAAAGATCAAAACCGCAAAGGTACTGGAAGAAAATATAAAGTAATGTTTCATAATTTTTAGTAGAGATGTTCCTGAGAAAATTGAAATTCTAAACACTAAATGAAAATAGTAGCAACTTCAACAATACACAAATTAAAAACTTCCAGGGGCAAAAAGCCCTGTAAATTTACAAAACAAATGTCAGGTAGAGAGGAACATCCTTTGTGACATGTGACACTTGAGTTAATATTTTTATATGTGAAGAGAGTGAAACAGCCAATCAGGAAAGGAATAATACCCCAACAGGAAATGACCATCACAAATAATTCACAGGGTTGGGGAGGGGAGAGGAGGATGGTCCGTAAGAACACAAAGAGATGCTTGCCTTCCCTGGTAATCAAAGAAATGCAGAATCGATGAGATCATTTTTCACCAATAACATTGGAAAGTATTAAAGGGACTGGTAATATCCAGTGCTCATAAGTAGGTGGGGAAAAGCATACTCTCACACCCAGTTCAGGGGGGCATAAACTAACATACTTTTCTGAGCGGCAAACTGGGGGTATGTTTTACAACAGCCGGTGTGCTTACCATTGGACTCAGAAATTCCACTTCTATAAATTTACCCTGAGGGGATCATCAGACAAGCTTGCAGGGATGTATTTATAAGGATGCCTGTTCAATAGACATGCCTTAAATGTACATCCCAAGGTGGAGACAGGGGTGTATTATAGCACCTGCAGTGTATTATTATGCCATTTGAAAATAGTAGGAAGATGTATGTTGATAGAAATTTTATAATAGGTTGATCAGTAAAAAATACAGTTTGCAATATCTATATATAGTAAAACCTGGAAAAAATATATGACTAAGATGAACTAAAAGGTTACTATCAATTATCACTGGGTAACAGAATAACTGGAGATGTTCACTTTCTCCTTCAAAACTTTACTCACTGTCTGAACTTTTTCCCAATGAGCAAACACCACTCCCATAACCAGAAAACAAATATCAAACTAAAAATGATTGGTTTTGGAAAAAAAAAAAAAAGATTTATTTTTTTTCCAAAGAGAGGGGATCTTTGTGGATAGAGACTCTTAGCCATAGGGAGTTTATAAGACCAAGTAGGAAAAAGAAATTTCGGGATGTTTCCCTTCATCTTGGGAAACCGAATGCAGAATGTAGAGCCCGAGGATTATATGTATTTTTAGCATCTTCTGAACCCCCACATTCTACAAGTACCAAAATCTCATTGATTTGCAAGATGGAAACACAATTTGGCTCCTCGGGTAGTCACCACTATTGGCCTGTCAGGTCACTTATGGAAAACCCGACTGCTTGCTCAGTAGCGCAGTCACTCTGTGTCACAGGGTGACCCTCTCACTGGCAATGCATGGTCATGGGATCAACAAGAACCGGCTGACAGGTGACTCCAGAGATCATGCTGAGCTAGGGTCTGCAGCCTGCTTGCCCCCACCCCCCCTGCCCCCACCACCTGCTTCATGACCTCTGTCTCCGTTTTGTGACCCTTAGTTTTGTAAAGAAATACTAACAACTAGTGCAGTCTGAAACAATAAAACTCTTTACTCTTTGAAATTCTAAATTGGTAGGTGTTTTCTAATGTCTTTGTTCCTGTTTGTTTGTTCTTGTTAAATTCAGTCCAAGAAGACATCAAAAAATATATATATTTTTTTTTTCTCTGCATATCTCTGGAGTCCTCATTGGCTTTAGATGCCCTGGAACTTACTTAATGAAGAAGGAACGGACTCTCAGTCAATGTCAAGTTGAATCAATGCCAACCTGATTTTCTCAAAATCAATGGGGCAGAAGGGTCCATTAGAGGTTCATGCAGGGGTCACAGGCTTCATTGACTTCTGGTGTGTTTTTTAAAAATCTCATCTAACATGTTTACCATGCAAAAGCTCATTTTTCCAGTTTTGAACCATAACTCCAATAGAGTGATATTTTCTGATAGCATTTTTCAAATCACAGGTGGGAGACTTTCTTAAATAGCACAATACGCTGTTACATCCTTCTGGAAAACATTTGGAACTAAACCAATGCTAGATGTGGCAACTCAGGCATGCGTACTAATAGCATGTATTCATCTGGGAAGTTTAACATGAGATCACATTTCCAGGACAGTTGCATATCAGCAAAAATGTTCATCAGAAAGTTCCTAAGTTCCTGGGAGCCAAAAATACAAAGCATTTATCTTTTCCAGGAATATTTTAATAATACATGAAACATGTTCTCATTGAACTGTGTGATGAAAGGGTTTTGAAAAGAGGAAGTGGCAGAGCGGGGAAAGAAATGAGCAGAAAGAAAGAAAGGTGATTTCTTGTATTCTCTACCTGGAGGCGGTACCCAGGGCAGTGATCCAGGCTTGGAAAATGCCAGCAAAAAAGGAGAAAGGGTTTTTCCTGGTGACTAGAAAGTAAATCAAGGGGAGAAAGATGCCCCCATGGATGATGAGGCCCACTATCACCGTGACCATGTACATCCCCAGTTGCCTAGCAACCACTTCTAAGTCCTTGATTGCAATGATCTTTCCACAAATGAGGCAGGCGATACCCAGGGGAGAGTACCTGAAAAACATAAAAGGAAAAAAAAAAAAAAAGCATTGAAGACAGCCTTATGGGATCCAGAACCTAGATCTGGGCCCTTACATGTACTGCACTCTGAGGAAAACCCTTCGCGTTTCGGTACAAAGAGTTTTGCTGGACGAAGTCCATGAGATTCAACCGTTGCTGCATTTTACTTCAGACTAACTGTACGACCTGAAATCTGTGCCATGGATCTGGGGGGATCCCTGCTCTGATGAGAATTCCAAAGGTGAACTCTGTTGCTCAGGTGATTTTTAGGAATAACAGAATCTAGCTTTACCATCTCCCGGGTAAGCACCGAGCTTGAGAGACACACAGGCTGTGCCTTTGAGAATCTTGTTTGGTTTCCCTGATCCCCCAACTCTTTCCTTGAAAACTGGGAATCCATTTTGAGCTTCCCAGGAAGCTCATTAGAGTTTCACCAAACTATACGCCGGTGTTTGCAAATTTGCTTTGTTTCTGCCTTGGAAGATGGGAAATTTATTAAAAAATGAGAGAGAGGGGGAGGCCTGCCAAATCAAGAAAGCCATCTGAGCCAGAGAGTACATTTAGAGAAATGCGGTTTTATTACTTACTTCTAAGTCTGAAAGTATTTCTTTCCATCCTTAACTCTACCAGCAATCCCGACCACCGTACATCGCGTCTCAAGCGGTACAGTAAGAGCACTACATGCATCACCTCATTTAATTCTTAACCACAACCCTGAAATCAAGGTATCATTACTCTTAGTTGGCAAACGAGGAAACTGACATTCAGAAAAGTTAAGTAACCAGCCCACGACCACAAAACCAGGAAGTAGGAGGAGAACAATTCAGGTCCTGTGAAACTCCAAGGGTATTTTTCCCCTCACCAAGCCAAACCACTTCCCTTTAACTGGCAGTAGTAGCTCGTTGTAGCTAAGCCAACAGTTTACCATACACCGATTTATTCTCTATAACCTTATTTTATATCTCCATCTTACTATTGTTTGATAGGGAGCTTAGAAACCATTGGCTGCTGTCCTCACTCTTGAGTAAGCTCATCACGTGCTCTCTCATCTTGAGTGTATTTTTCCAATGTTGGGCAACATACTTTCTCTGTTGCCCAATCTGGTAGACCTGGAGCATAGACTTGGTCAGCCTGCGACACCTTCTGACTGAAATGAAACTGTTTGTCGGAAAGTTGATACCTTGGTAAGAATTATGAACTTATTTGAGAAAAAGACTGTGGGGGAAATGAAATCCCAGGATAAGGCCATCAACAGGGGTAAAGGAGTCAGGAAAGGAAGACAGACACCCAAGCCAGATGTGATTTTTTTTTTTTTTTTTTTTTTTTTTTTTTTTTTAATTGTGCCTGAAGCAAACCCTTTCCTGGGTAAAGAAAAGATTGGAGGAGTAGATGAGAGTTATATACACATTTACATAAGACACGGAGCTTGTCCAGTCACTTACCAGCTACATGACTCTGGTTAGAGACTTATTCCCATTTTACAGGCATGCAAGTCAAGGCTTAGGCTAACTCCAGCCTCGTGGGATTGCTGCAAGGCTTACATTTTTGAAATGTAAATCCTGCACCCCTCCCTGTCAGCACCATTCATCTCCAACTGCTGACCAAGGAATCCTTTGTATGTTCTGTTTTTACACGGATTACGCACACCATGTCCTTTCCCCCACCATGCTTAATGAGTCAAGTCTGAGTTAATGCTGCTTTCTAAAACATCTCAGTCTACTGCCACCCAATGGTGGATGTTTTTATAAGCAAAATATTTTGTCAAGGGGAACCTTCTTCTGAAAGAGCTGATTTGTAACTGACGATACGATACGTAGTAAAAACATTAGAATAGCTGCTCCCTTCCTTGATGAGTTTCCAGGCTGTAGCCTCCACGTGTTTCCCTGGGGTAAAGACTGATGATATTTGAGAACTGTTTCCGCAGGCATTAGGGAACTATGCTGTTAAACCCTTGGCTTTCCCACCATTTTACACTCTCCTGGTGTGCCCATAGTCACAACATCTCCCAGATCAGCTGGGTAGTCTCAGAGGCCAACTCTTTGTTCCAGGGGATTGTAAGTAACTGAGCAGAATGCACCAATAAATGGTGCCAACAAGCATTTATCTTCATAAACCAAGAGATCAATTATTTCCCAAGCACCAATCACCCTTTAAAGATGTACAGAAAAACACAAATATGAGCTATTCTGGGTGCCACTCAATTTTCCTGCTTTTCTGGGACAAGCCATTTGCAGAACGGAGAGAAAGTGTTTCCAAGGCTCTTTGCCAAGCAAGACAGCTACAGAATCCCCCTGGAGAACACATTTGAGCCAGAGCCAAATGGATTAGAGAGAGGGAACAGGTTACCTCCAGAGCACTCAGCTCGCTGGGAGAAACATGAGTTTCCCACTACAAATGGAGAGCGTCATTCAAAGGCCAGAAGGTAGAGTGTTAGGTAAATAAATATGGCAAGCAGGGGCCCTAGTTAACCCAAACACCTGGGTCTCCAGAACCAGAATGAGCATCAATTAGGACAAGGAAAGAGCCTTTAGCGCTATGGTGTCCTTTAAGGCCGTTACTTCCCTGCACCTGTTTTCAAAACAAGTGGCTTAAGCTTCCACTCAGGAGCTTCTGAGTTCCTGGGTCGCCGTATAATTATCTCACTGGAAATGACACTCCGTGGAAAAGAGAGGGCAAATGACCCGGATTCAAGGTCACCACTCAAAGCTTCTGAAATGAAGCAAACAATCAAAGCCATAAACTAAAGTGCATAAAGAAGCTGAGGGCTCCATTACGCTTCTGAAGCCAAAGGGTGCCCAGTCATTGTTGGACCAGTTTCTAAATTAGAAGGACATCACTGCAGAGCAGGGAGACAGAATGCCTCCCACCATGCCCTTAGACTGGTTGTATCTGCAGCTCTGGGCACTGTTTTCAAAGGCACTGATTCATCTAGGACTGGCCTGTCAAGTCTTTTTCTTACTATCACATCATCCATCCTTGCCTCCGTCTGCTTTGTACCTCAGTCCTTGTCATTTTAAGGTCTTTACCAAGTTGCCTTTCCCAAGACTGCGTTCGACTCCACAAACACAAACTCATACACAGAATTTAACATGCCCAGACCTCAGTGTGCCTGTGCATTCACAGACCCCAGCTTCACACTCACCTGACCTGCCTGGTAACAACACGGATTCCCTGGGCTCACCACGTACCTATTGAGTTAGAATCTCCTGGAGCTAACCTGGGGGCATTTGTATTTTAAACAAGTTCCCCTAGGTAATTCTGACGTCTTCTCGGAAACCAATGTTTCAAGGAATGAAATCTGTTCCACAACAGGATGAAATGCGCAAGTTACTTGGTTACCCTTCGGAAACCATTTGCATTAGCTCCAATTGATTCAAGACCTTTGGTCTTAACCCATTAAAGTAGTTAATTCAGGACCTTTAGTCACAGGACAGATGGTGGATCAGACAGTTAGATGGTTAGTGGAGAGACTTTCTCAGTCTTGCCATAAAGTCACTCTGGCTTTGCCCCACACCGCTATTGATTTTCAACAGCAACACCAGTCTCCCAGTTTGGGACAGATCCCAAGACAACCAAAAAAGGGAAGAGTCTGTCAACAAAGAGCCAAACACACATTCTAAGAGTTACCTAAATGTGTTGTCTGCTCTCAGGCTCAAAAAGTAACACAAATCTCCATTTTACCCAGTCCGCTTAGAGACTGGTGTTCCGGCTATCCAAGCAGTGACTGCTGACAGTTTCTATGTGTGGACTAGAACTTTGGATGAGGACAGAGGGAAAATCAGTATGCAGAGCCTCCAGGCTTGTAGTCTCCCCTCCCCCCTCCCCCACACCTCCCCAGGGACTTCCTTTCGCAAGTAAATAGACCCCAACTTGTCAAGGTAGCCTGCGAAGCCTTATGGCATCTGTCTCCTGCCCACCTCTCCAATTTCACTGCCTTCCACGCCCCCTCACCAACCAACCACATCGCAGGTACTCCGGACCTTCGTCTGACCCTTAAAAACCTTTCACTTGCTGTTTCCTCCCACTGAAAAATTCTAATATGGGTTCTTCACAGAGCTGCCTCTTCCCATTCTTCAGATCTCCATCAAAAGCCACTTCCCCAGGCAGCCCTCCTGGACCCCCAGGATAGAGTCCAAGCCATACTTCCATCCCCCATCACTCTCTGTCCCACTCTCCTGGTTACTAACTTTGTAGCACTGACTGCTGTCTGAATTCTTATTTGCTTCCTTTTACTCTTTCTCTTTCCTTTCAGTAGAATGTAGGCCCCGTGAGGGCCAGAATATTTCTCTGTCTTCTTCACCATTACACTAGCTAAAATTGTTATTGGCATAGAAGAGGGGCTCAAAAGCATTCATGGAGTGACAGAATGGATGGATAGCTGGATGGTTGGATGGATGGATGGATGGATGGAAGGATGGATGGATGGAAGGGATGGATGGATGGATGGATGGAAGGATGGTTGGATGGATGGATGGATGGAAGGGATGGATGGATGGATGGAAGGATGGTTGGATGGATGGATGGATGGATGGATGGATGGATGGATGGAAGGATGGATGGATGGAAGGGATGGATGGATGAATGGAAGGATGGATGGATGGAAGGGATGGATGGATGGATGGAAGGATGGATGGATGGATGGAAGGGATGGATGGATGGATGGATGGATGGATGGGATGGATGGATGGAAGGATGGATGGATGGATGGATGGATGGATGGATGGAAGGGATGGATGGATGGATGGAAGGGATGGATGGACAGTGGCGGTGGGTTAAAAGGGAGGGAGAATTGAAAGAGTGGACAGAGATCTCACTTCTCACTTTGTGTTTCTAGAGTGGTGAGATTATGAAAAGTTTTACTTTCTGTTTAAGGTTATCAGATTTTCAAAAAAATGTTTTAAAGAAATTTGCAAAAAATGAGGATATTAAAATCATACTGAAATTAAGGGTTTTTCTTTTTTTGATGAATCAGAGAGCCTTTTAGGTTTCTTAAAGGATCCATGAACACACAGAAACAGAGGATACAGATTGAATTGATAATAGTAATGATAATCACAAAATAACAACAATGATAACACTGTTCATAGAAAGTGTTTAGACAGGACCCAGCATATGAGGAATGCTTTGTAACTGTTGATCACAATTTCACTCCATTCTCACGGCAACCCTAAGACACACTGATTCTATGCTCAATCCATTCAGATCATGGGGTTTAGAATGTGTCTAATTCACCTAAAGTCACACAGTTAGTACTAGGAGGATGCCGGATTCACTCCAATCTGAAGTCAGACCGAAGTTGAATTAGGCACCACTCCCACACAACTCCCACTACTTAGGCTGTGTGACACTGGGCAAGTTAACTTCTGTGCTTAGTTTTTACAACTGGAAAATGGGGCTAACAAAAGTCCCTATTTCTGCTAGGTATTATGGAGACCAATAAATGAATTAATGTATGGAAAGTAATTGGAATAGTACTAAGCATATAGCAGGAAGTTGGCAAATCTTAGCTATGATTTAATAATTATGATAATAATAATTAGCTCCCCAATAATAAATAGATACAATACAATCACTGAGGTAGTGCTGAGCATATAGCAAGAATTTAATAACTATAAGTTATAATTTAGTAATAATTGTTACTAGAATAATAGGGATCTCTGCAACGTTATATTTTGCTATTATACTGTTCTTATTACCACACAGAGAAGAACACAAAAGAAGTCTGATCATTTAAGCTTTGAGAGGGTTGGTTAAAGAGTAATTGACTGTTCTACCCCAAACCGTCTCACACACATTGTTATCAAACGCTGACAAGGCAGCTCAGGAATGAAAGAAATGTGTAGAATCGGCATCTCCTACCATGTAACACCCTCCTGACTGTTTGCCTAGATGAGGTAACTGAACAGCTGTCAGAAGTCATTGCATAGACCTTGTTCCTGACTCAGAATTGCTCGGCATCTCCTGGGTTTTGATGCTAAATCTTTAGGAGTTTTGGTTTCATTGAATAGGAAACCTTAATCCACACCCCTCTTCCCTGGGGAGAAGTGAGCACACACTTTATCCCATGATTCATCTCCCACATTTCCTCTCCTTCAAGGGCTCAGTGCAAATGATATTGCCCACATCACTGGCATCGTACTACAGAAATCTGAACTGTAGTTTTAGAGCGAGGATGTTCATTCTGCTAAGAATTCCAGGGGACCAGTGCAGATCCTAATGTTTACTACCAAGAGGCATATTCTGCTTTATTATTTACTAAGTTCTCAGCAAGCTCAGGCAGATTTGTAAAAAAGACTCGAAACATATTTTTAGAGCGTCACATTGTGGGTGACTTTAAATTTTCATACAAAAGAAGTATTCAGAAATCTAGGGTTGCCTGAGCAGTTGAAGAATCGATACAATAAAAAAAAACAAAATCAAATTATTTTACCAGCGTCCTGTCCATGTTTTCAAAGTACAATAAAGCGATGATCTGAACAAGCCAGGCCTGGTAAATATGGTTCATGAAATCATAAGGAACATCTCTTTTTCTTTTCTTGCTCATTTACTCATTTATTCATTCAATAAATACTTTTTTTTTCCATGAAGTGTATTCTTTTTTTTTTTAATGTAATTTATTGTCAAGTTGGCTAACATACAGTATATACAGTGTGCTCTTGGTTTTGGGGGTAGATTCCCGTGTTAACAATGGCCAAATGATGGAAAGAGCCTAAGTGTCCATCAACTGACGAATGGATAAAGAAGATGTGGTTTATATATACAATGGAATACTACTTGGCAGTGAGAAAGAATGAAATCTGGCCTTTTGCAGCAATGTGGATGGAACCGGAGTGTGGATGGAACGCTGAGTGAGATAAGTCAGGCAGAGAAAGACACGTATCATATGTCTTCACTCATATGAGGAACATCTTCTGGATCTGAGACCCTGGGGCCTTCAGCTAGTCCACTCACTCTTGAGGTTTTAGTAAGAATTACTACCAGCACATCACAAGGTTGGGTTCTGTGGGGATAAAAAATAAGCCAGGAGCAGATTCTTGTTCTTGTAAAGGGGGAGGAGGAGCCAAGGAAAGGAAGAAGAGAAAAAGAAGGTAGAATTTTAGTGGGAGGCACCATGCAGAAATGAAGGAAGCCCAGAGGAGGAGGAGGGTTGGGGAAGGTGAGTAGGCTGAGAACAAGCAGAGACAGAGAATTGGCAATCCTGAATTCCTGTGACAGGACACAGGTGTTGTTTGGTCTCATAATGGTTTTGGTTTTTTTCTAGACAGGCATATCAGACCATCAAAGAGGTCTGGAACAAATGCACGTAAAAATCTTTCATCCGAGAGACAGTGGACACTAGAGATCTGAAGGTGGTACCGTTTCCTTTACAGAAGACTGGGCACTCATGCCCTCCTGGGCTGCCCTAGATTTCAGAACCGCTGACCACAAAGACACATGCAATAAAGCAGAGACAGTATTGCTTAGATAATTCAAACAAAAAAGTCACCCACTTGGGCATCAAGGATTATGAAATCAACAGGCACTCCAGCTCTTCGCCCCACTAGCTATATCATCTTAAGCAAATTAATTCACCTCAATACACCTCAGTTGCCTTTTCTGTAAAATGGGAGTCATGGTGCCATCTTTGCGGGGCTACTGGGATTACATCTGACGGGCACTAAGCACTTATCCTGGCTCTTGGCAGATACAAGGAAATCAATAGCTGGTAACTTTTATGATTATAATGATCATGACGATGTTAAGGAATCAAGATTTGGTGACTCTGGATGTATCCTATGATACAGTCTTCTCTTCCATAAAACTAGAGGGTGGAACAAGATTTCCAAGAGCACTTACAATTCTAATATTGCCTCTGTGATTTCACTGTTTGCATGGCCTGAGAACTGCCTCTTTTTCCTGCTGCACGAGTCATAAAACTACAACACATTGCTTTTGGACACGAGAATATTAGCGTAGTGGTCCTGCCACACGCCCTCAGTCATGCTGTATCATCCTTGGTATCTTGGACTTATCTTAGTGTTTCCTCACAGTGCTCAGGTTCAGGGTTACTAATAGGTTTTTCCAGCTTGTCTATCTTTTCTTGCTTTTCGTTGTTGTTTTTGTTTTCCCACAGGCAGGAATAGGAAAACTTTATGCGAAGGGCCAAATAGTAAATACTTCAGTTTTTTCAGGCTACACAATCTTAGTCTGAACTGCCCAACTCTGCCATTTGGCACAAAGCAACCCTAGACAATATGTGAACGAATGGGCATAGCTGTGTGCCAGTAAGACTTTATTTATGGGTCCTGAAGGTGAATTTCATATAATTTTCATGTGTTGTGGAACACTATTACTCTTTTGATTTTTTTTTTTTTCCGGCAACATAAAAACATAAAACCCATTCCTAACTTGTAGGCCACACTAAACGCATAGCAAGCGGATAAGATCTGGCCCAAGGATGGGCCATGGTTTTCCAACCCATTTTCCAGGAGAAGCTCCCCCCAGAAAAGATTTTCATCCTTTTCTCAAAGTTGTTTTCCAGAGAGCCCTTTGCTTGCTCCATGCCTACCTCTCCTGCTGGGAGGGCTCCATTATCTTGCAAGGATCCCAAGACCTTCAGACACCCTCCCCCAACACTGAGTAAGAACAAGCCCACCTACCACATGATCATGATCACTAACTTCATTACGATCTCATTCAAAATGTTGAAGAATTCCACCATCAGCTTGGCCTGCTCTCCCATCTTCCCCATGGCGATGCCAAAAGCAATGAAAAACCCGATGAGACCTGTTGAGTGAATCACATCACGCAGAAGGACAAGTTACAAAGTGTGTGTTTCTTCTCCCTCCTTCGCCACTCCCAACACAGGGAGCCACCTTCTCACCTGCCTGTTACCCCGCAAATGAGGCATTAGGCTTCACACTGAAAATACCTTTCCCTTGGATAATTATGGCATCCCTTAACATTTCCCACAAGAGCAAGCGGAACTGTCAGTGGCATCAGTTCCTTGAAAAAAATGAATTCCATTTCATTCCAAACCCAAAAGCACTCTCTTCTCTCTCCTCCTCCCTTACCATGGGTAAGCAGATTCCAGAGTGCACAGATTAACAAAGGAAGGCTTGTTGAGGCTTGGGGGTTATCATGCAAACTTTGGAGCCCACATTAGAACTGCAGAGACCAATTAGCCAATAAAGTCTCTGCCAGGGTTATGTCTACATTGGCTTAGGGCTAGTGCAAATTCATGCGTGGCTGGTATGTTCCACTGCAGAAAAATCCTAAGTATAAAAGTATCTTTCTACTGCTACATGCCTAATACGAGAAGGAGGAAGAATGTCGAAAAGTCAAATGGAAAGCAATGAGAAATCCAAAATAGTTGGGAAACCCCAATTGACCCAGTTCGTTTGTATTTAACCTGTGATTTATTAACTCCTCATCATTCTTTTCATGGTCAAAATGGTTAGAATGCTTCCCCCTTTTTTTTAACTGTATTTTTTATCAGTATCATAAAGGCAGAACATAGACTTTGAAACTTGCTAGCCCCTCAGTCCCCTTCTCCCTTCACTTGACATGGCTTGACTTCTACCTAAATCTAGCCCCACCCCAGCCTCTAGGGTCAATCCTAACCCCAGGCTGGAAGGACGTGAGGAGCTCTGTCCCCATCAAAGGCACAGGTCCTGGACCAGCTTCAACACCCAGCCTTGAGTCTTATCTCTGTGTTGTCTTTGCCTCTTTCCCCACACCAGAGTATGTTGGCGTATGTGCTAGGAAGCTGCCATATACTTTGGTTCCACCAAGCTTGGCCTGGCTTTTCTCCTCCCAGAAGTTTCTCTTCCCCTACCGCTCCTTCCCATCCTTTCCCTCAGAGTTTCACCCCCTGCCTAGTCTCACCCAGGCCCACCCAGGGACTGGGCCACTTTATGGCTAACAGATATCCCCATGATTGTCTGGGGGCTGTCTGGATTTCTGATTACTAGCCACTCTGTGCCCCCTTCCCACTCTGACCCATTATGGCCAATCCTGAGGCTCCAATTCTGACTACTGGCATGGACTACCAACCAATGTTGCTGTCCCCATAGCTGCAGGCCCTTGCTTGCCCATCTGACATTTCTTCTGAATGGTAGTATGGCCAATATTCTAGGCCCTCTCTTTCCTTCCTCTTCCCTATGACTGCCGTGTCCCAGTTTGGCAGGTCTAATTTACAACCCTCCTTTTATATCATTTCCTAATGTATCCAGTTATGCCTGGAGTCTTGAGTTACACTGGGTAAATTATATCATTATAATCTGATTCTCTTAGGGAAGAATTCTTTCTTTCTGAATCTCCGACTTCACCTTTTTCCTAGCCCCCCAGAGACACTCACCTCCCCACGCTATGCACGTAACAACCCAGATTGTTCAACTATCCTTCACTGGACCCTCTCTCTCTTTAGCAAAAAGAACTCAGCACCTGCACTCAGGATTGTTAATCCCTGGGAACGAATATTTCCCCTTTTCAGTTCTTAGCTAGAAAGACTGGCAAGTGATTTACAAGTGAGTTATTGGCCATAAAGACAGAGGCTTTGTGAGAAGCAGTGACCAGGGGAGTGTGGTCTCACTCTGCAGTAACGTATGGAACCAAATTCAGACTATTCCCAAGCCTTCTCTCAAGCCCACGGAGAGGAGTCTGTTGGGTGTGCGGTGAGACATAATCTGTGAACATTCTGGCTGAGAAGACCTAGTATTACCCAGTTAATTCCATTTGGAGATTTTAAGAGAAACTCCTCAAGGTCTCAAAGTCACAAAATGCTGGCATAAAAGGGCTACCCTTGCAGGGCCAGCAGAAACTGAGCCACATCTATGACTATGAGAGAGAGACGTTGGAAGGAGCAAAATCTCCCAGGAGTTGACTTAATGGATGGGGTTAGAGTGGAGCTCAGAAGTGGTCTGGAGGTTTTGGCGGAGAGAAAGGAGTCCTTCAAGAAGTAGGAGGCCAGAGTCAGGGTTTTGTCTTCACTTACTGCAATGTTCAATCATTGGGACTTTCCAAAGCCAAAAAAAAAAAAAAAAAAGCCACCTTCTCCACCCTCAGAAGACCAAGGGAAGAATCTTGTTTTAGCCATGATTTGTAAATGAGAAGTTTCCCAACGGTCTAACTTCCCTTGGCTTTCCAGGGCCTCACTCTGCACTTGAACACTCACATCCAGCTTCCATGTCATTTCCCTCTGTCAACACAGCTTCACTGAACTCACTTACTGGAACTGGGGCGTTTCACTTGAACAAAGCCCTTTTAGACTTGGTCACTGGGGCTGAGAGAGTAGTGAGTTGTGTTGAAACTCCCTAGGGCAGCTCAAGGTCAACGTGACTTCCCAGAATCCACTGAGAATCTGGAAACGACCGTGTAAGTCTTCTGAATGATTCACCCCAAAGTTCGGCCTCATTACTCATGGCCTTAACCTCCTGCAGAGTACGTAGAAGACTGTGGGGCCACGTTGACTACGGGGTTTGGGGGAACAGAGCAGGGCTGGGAAGGTCCTGAAAGGCTCACAGACAGTGAGGGGCAGTGGAGGAGAAGGGCTGGATCAGGGGTGGAGGCTGAAGGTATTTGCAGGCTCTCCTCAGAGGAACTCACCCACTTTCTCCTCTCTCTTTCCTCCTGTCACCTCTCACTGATGGTCAACAACGTTTACGGATCTTCCATTGCCTGCCAACCTATTCAGTGTATCTCCTCTCACACTCTCATTGACTCAACCTGTTTCCTTCGAGAACAAACCGAGATGATCCCTCACTGAAGCTTCTGCTTTTCAGTGCCTGGGCAATCCTTCTCTCCTACATCTTTCTCTCAACCATTCTGGGTCAGTTACTCATAAAATTATCAAATTTAGAATAAACAAACAAAACAGACAACCAGGATATCCAGTCAAAATGTGAATTGCAGATAAACAATGAATATATTTTATTTTGGTATAATTATGTCTCGTGCAGTAATTGGGACATACTCTACACTAACAAATCATTTGTTGTTCATCTGAAATTCACACTTAACTCGGCATCCAATACTTTACCTACAACCCTCCTAAGGAGACAAGGGTATTTGATCTCCTAGATGGCAAAGCGGAAGGACCACGGAGCTGATCCATTTCTAACCAGCTGTCTCTCAAACCCTTAGAAATCTTGCTTGCACAGATTAACGTACTTTTTCCACCCAGCTTCCCCATCTGTTCCAGCTTAGGGCCAAATGTCCCTCTTTCTTGTTTATGAGACACCACTCTAACAGTGGGTGGGGGTTATGGTGGGGAGTGGTCCCAGGGGGTGGGCAGGGAGTAAACTGAGCAAAGGGGAGTCACTCCCATGATGGGGAATCTTCATCCTCTGTGGGGGCGTTTTCTTATGGTGCCCCTCAGCTCTCCATTCACCTTGGATAATGACAGTAGCTCAGAAGAGAGCACACACTATATACTACTGTGCTCCACATGCACAATCTCATTTAATGCTCATAATGATCTGCAAGAGAAATGCAATCTCGTCCCGTTACAAATGAATCTCGAGAAGTGAAGCAACTTGGCCATGGGCAGGTCACCAGTGAGTGGTCCATAAGGGATCTGAACCCAGCCTGTCTACCTGCAGAGCCGAAGAACCAAGTAATGGCATGCTATAAAGGCTCCAGGCTAGGGGAAAGGGCTCACTGGAATCCCAGAGAGTTAAACAAGATAATCTTTTGATAAGCTCCTCTGAGCACCAACACCAACACACACTCCTGATAGCACTGTGTTGTTCTAAAGGCTGTGAAAGCTGGGGTGGGCTATCCCTGTGCCTAGTGCAGCACTAGCATGCAGGGCAGTTCAAAAAAAAAAAATGCTGAAAAAAATGGAAGAATTGGATGTGCAACTTCCTGCAATGGACAGTCAGAGAAAGTTACTTGCCAACATCACGTTAGTCCCCTCTCTCTTCCCATAACTGACCTCTAGCTGCCATGTTTCCTCACGGTCCTGCTTGCCTCTCTCCCTCTTCCTTAATCTTTCAACGAGGGATGCCGAGGCGCTGAGATGCAGGAAAGGTTGGCCATCGTCTCCCCCCAGAGGTGAGCACCACGATGCCTACCTAAGACATTCATGCCATCCTTGAACTCCAGGCCCTTCTTGATAACCACCTTCGCTTCCTCAGGCACCTCCGTCACAGTCTCGTTCAATAATGAGATGACAGCGTTGGTGGCATTGCCTTCCTCATCTGATGGAGGTGCCACCAGGACTTTCTTGGTCACCGTTTGAATCTAATGGAGTGGGAGGAGGAGGGAGGAACATAAAGATAAGGCGTTTGACCACCAAAAGCCTAGGCACTTAGACGTTTTTAAAATCCCTAGGATGTTAAAAAACTAATTAAGAAATATCAAAACAAGGTTATGAAAGTTGGGGAATAGTTCAATGTTTGTGTTTAACAAAGTGATATTTTATTATACACATACAGTAGGAAACGACTGTCCTCATCACTTGATAATTATAGGACTGACAGCACTCATTTGTAATGTAGTGTGATCCAGTAATGGGACACAAGCTTCGAGTTGGGGGACAGTCCCATGATTGTAGCCCTTGATTGCAGCCTCTTTCAGTCCCATGATTGTAGCCCTGCATCTCAGAGACAACATCCAGCATCGATCACCGAAGCTCTTCATAATTGTGAACCCCAGTTGGATGGCCCTTCTTGCCTCTTGGGAGGGGCCCTGGATCTGGCCAAGAGTCAGAAAGTGAGTGTCTTCGCAGGGAACAGGTCCACCTGTTTTGTTCCTTCCTGCCTGGGACCTGTCTGGCGGTCTTCACAGGCGAAGCCTCATTCGGGCTCCTTCCAGAGTCATGGTCTGGAGCTGGGCAGCTCCATCTGGGCACCAGATGCTGGGTACTCGCAGCTGCCAGCAGCTGCCATGACAGGATTGTTGGCTTATATTTCAGACCAAAAATGTAAGATGGGAAGACACCCACTCCTTCTGGGCAGTGATGCCAAGCTTTGCTCAATGTTTGCCAAGCATCTCTGTGCAAGTGGCCCCCAGAGAACCTCTCATGCTATTCCTCGACATCTGTGGCATCCATTCTAATTTTAAAGGTGCCAGGCACCCTGCATGCAGAGTGCTGTAAAACACACTTCCGAGCCCCGAGAAACAATACCTCCAAGGGCATTAAAATAGAACTCCTGCAGAATCCTAGAATGTCAGTGCTGGTACATAGCAGGCAACAGATGGCTAAACCCTGAATAGCTATGGGAGAGGAGGCATGGAGAACTCAGATGACCTGTCAGATGGCACAGAGTTCTTGGCAGAGCTGGGACTTGAACTCCGAGGGCCACCACCGAGTTCTTCCACTCCCTGTGCTACCGACACCCAATCCTACGGCAGCTAGGCCTAACAGTGAGCTGACCAGCTCTCCAAAGTGGGAGAGAAGCACGATGTGGCTCTGTTCTAGCCTGGCCATGTGTGCTTGCGCAGCGAGGAAGGAAGCTCAGGCTGAGTGTGCAAGGGGAGGACAGGCAGCTCCTGGGCTCCTGGGTCTGGGCAACGTTGGCAAGAAGAAAGAATGCAGGCATGATCAGAAGAGTCACACTCCCAGGAAAAATGGGAGGGCCAGAAGCCAACATTCTCTGTCCTGAGAATGCCATAGAAGCCAAGTCTTGAGTTCAAAGGACTAACGGCCATGGTCGTAAACAAGTGGTGGCTCTCAGGAACAGGTGGCAGCAGGTGTGGCATGTTTGACACATATTATCTCTTATGTCAACAGTAGCCCCTCAAGGCTCAGGGGGCTCGCTAACTGCAGGGCAGAAAGCTAGCTAGTTGCTGAAGCAGGATTCAAAATGAGTTACGTTTGACTCCCAAATCAGCTTCCAAACAGCACGGGCCAGTGGCTCAGGTTGAAGGCGAGGAGATAGGGATACTGGAACACAGGCCTGGTCTCTGCCTCAGTTCATGAGCCGAGCCTGTCTGGGTTGGACAACCCCGTCTGGATGCCAACTCCAGTCTACCCGAGTCCAAGCCACCAGGGTCTGTCGCCTTAAAACAGGTTGGTTCTGGACTGTGTCCCCCAACGCCCGAACATAAGTAAGTTCCACTGGGCGGGGACCCTGGCTGTCTCATTGCCTGTGGCATCTTGCGCACAGTGGAGAGCCAGCACCCAGGACGTGCTCTCAAATATCAGATGGATGAGCAAACACACACATCACTGGATTCCCCGCAAGAGAAGACCCATGCGGTCCCTGTGGCTAGCCTTGACTGAATGCGGTCAGACAGCCCCTGACATCCCGCTGCTGTCCTGGACAGCTCACGCCGGTTCAGCCCTAAGCAGCAAGCAGGAGGCCCCGCTGCCCTCCAAGACACAGGGCCTGCCACCTAGAGCAAGGCAGCCTCTGCTCCGGGGACAGTGCGCCTGCCTCTTTCCATCTCTGTGTCTAACTGTGGCAGTGAAGCCCTCCACACCCAAGGCAAGCTTTTTGTAGTCACTTCCAGCTGTATCCCAAGGGCACAGAAAGCACTTGCCTGGCATCCCTTCTCTCTGGTAATGGGATATCACCCTACAACGGTTCCCTTTCGCTGAACCCTCTTCAAGGGCCCCCTGGGCCCATGGATTCCTTCTAGTTTAAGACCCCCTGGGCTTCTGGGCTGCCTGAGATGTACATGCTCCCTTGCCCTGAGGTAAATAAAAGAGTCTACACATTTTTCCCTCTGATTGTCCCAACTCAAAGGGGCAGTGACCCTGGACTGAGCTGGGGGGTGGTGGGGGGGGGGGGGGCTAAGGGCTCATTCCTCATACGAATATTGCCAGTGGAAGGGTGGGTCCAGGGCAGGGACGGGGCAGGGAATGGCTCAGCCCTCTATTCTAGTGTGCACAGTAGCCCTGCCGTGGGCAGCTTCATACGGAGATCGCCCACTGACCGGACAGGTCACCGAGTGAGCGTGGCTAACACCACTAAAGCTCACCCAAGATCAGAGCAACGGCTCCTGGAGCCTGTCTGCCTCAGTCCTGCTTTGCTACGACGAAGGGGTCGCCTCTCATGGAGCATGGTCATGACGGGGCCCAGGAAGGAGGCCCCAGTCCGTGCCTCCGTCGTGCCTCTCGTGCTACCCCTCCCCCCAGTCCCAGAGTGCTTTCATCTAAGTAGGTTCCCTCTAGAGAGGGAGCGCCAGGAAGCACCCCTCCCTTCCCTTCCCACCCTACCTCCCCAGCTGAAATGGCTTCTTTTATTTTTTTATTATGTGTTAATGGAGGCTTTTTGATTTGTCCTTTGTGGTTGTTCTCGAATTTTATTTCATTTTTCCTTTTGATCGAAGTAGAGTGGACACACGATGTATTTCGTTAGCTTCAGCTGTACCACACAGTGATTTGACAAGTCTACACATCACGCCTTGCTCACCACAAGTGTAGTTACCGTCTGTCCCCTCACAACACCGTTACAGTATCATTGGCTACAGTCCCTGTGCTGTGCCTTTCACCCCCACGACTTCTTCCTTCTATAACAGGAAGCCTATGCCTCCCCCTCTCCTTCACCCACTTTGCCCATCCCCCACTTCCTTCCCTCTGACAACCATCGGTTTATTCTCCGTAAGTAGAAGGCTGTTGCTGCTTTTTACATGTTTGTTTATTCATTTGTCTTGGCTTTTGTTGTTGTTGTTGTTGTTGTTGTTTTAGTTTGTACATATAAGTGAAATCACGTGGTATTTGTCTTTCTCTGACTTATTTCACTTAGCACCATGCCCTCCGGGTCCATCCACGTTGTCGCAAATGGCAAAAAAATCTCATTCTTTTTCACGGCTGAGTACTATTCCATCGTGTATATGTATATACGCCACATCTCCTTTATCCATGAGATGGTTTCCTTTAATGTAGCCCTCTGCCGTAAGTGCCACCAACACAGCACTGGAAATCAGAGAACACATCTTAACCCAGAGTAAGCGGGGCCCAGCCGGGGTTGACAATAGGATTTGGGAGACAGCTGGGAAAGTAAACTTTTCCCCTAGGCAGCCTGTCTCCGAAGTTCATTCTTCTGTGGTTCCCTGGAAGTGGCTGGAGGAGATTCCCGGGTTCTGGTTGAACCTTGGTGCTAGCTCTCCCTGCACGGGCTAATGGGAACTGATGCGAATTCTCAGCTAACCTGACCTTGGGGGCTAGATAACAGGCTGGGGAGCGAGGCCTCAGTCTCTCTCTCTCTCTCTCAGTGGTTCCACCGAGCAGAATCATCCATTTTCTTAAATTAGAAGCTTTAAAAAACTCGATCTGCCCGTATGCAGTCAGCAGGAGCAAACATCACTACAAACCTTTGTAGAGCCGTTTTGCAACATCCAGCAAATTTGAAATCTAGAACTCCTGGGCAGGACATGAGCCCCCAAGAATTTATTTTTCAGAAATAACTACACAATCGTGAGGAGAGAGAGAGAGAGATGATGGTAAGGCACTGTTAAATAAAAGAGTACGGCACAGCACAGTATATACAATGCAGTTACCACTCGGGTTGAATTTTCTTCTAAAGATTATGCACACAGGCAAAATCTATATATGGAAGGAAACAAAATTCCCAGCATGAGTAGTTCTAGGGAAGGGAAGTACATCTACACCGTTTAAACTTTTTACAGCCCTCATGTATTACTTCCACAATTTGAAAACACCCAATCCCCGGGCCTATACTAGAGATTCTGACTCTGTAAGGCATGTGTCTTTTTTATTTATTTATTTTTTTTAAATTTTTTTTTTCAACGTTTTTTATTTATTTTTGGGACAGAGAGAGACAGAGCATGAACGGGGGAGGGGCAGAGAGAGAGGGAGACACAGAATCGGAAACAGGCTCCAGGCTCCGAGCCATCAGCCCAGAGCCCGACGCGGGGCTCGAACTCACGGACCGCGAGATCGTGACCTGGCTGAAGTCGGACGCTTAACCGACTGCGCCACCCAGGCGCCCCGGCATGTGTCTTTTTTAAATGCATCACCTGTGGTGTTGCTATCCTACCAACATAGAGACCCACTGGGCACTCGAGAGGGTTGAAGGCAAGGGTGATTTTCAAACGTGTGCCCTTGGACAGCCCATCCATGGAAACCAAAAAACCAGGGAAAAAGTAACGGGATGGGGGAAAAAAGGAAGAAGGGGAATCCCAGAGCAAAGAGATGTGAAGTGAGCTGGAAAAAAAGGAAGGTTAATAAAATAAAGCAAAATACGACTTCAATCCCAAAATCCTGCTCCAAATCACCTCCTACAATCCCTAGACAGAGGAAATTAAATATGGGAAAATTGCTCCCCAGGGCTGGTTCACTGAAACACTCCCTAAGTTATTATCTTGATAACTGAAGGAGGCTAGAAAGGCAAGAACATCAGAACTTTGGGTTACCTGCTGAAAACAGGCTTGGACAAGGTTTTCAGGGAAGAGATTTCGGATGAGGTCCAGGAAGGCATCCAGGCTGGACACTTCATCATTTTTCTTCCCGGGTCCCAGCTGCTTCTTGAGTTTGGGGTTCCCTGGGTGGATGGCCAAGACCAAGATGACCCCCAGCACTGCGGCAATGACGGTTGTGGACATGTAATACACCATGGCTCTCGTGCCCAAGCGTCCACTGGCTTTAGCATCCAGGCCCGACAAACCTGGATTGAAATGATATGGGAAGGATTAATCCTACGATGCCCATCGCTGCATACCTAGAACGTGGCTTCCTATTACTCAAATGCATGAATGGTTAATTAAACCTCCTCCTACTGAATGTTTGGTCCTACAAATCCTATAGTTTACAGTTCTTTTGTCTATTATTATTTTATTTTAGAGAGAGAGAGCACGCGCGTGCACACGAGAAGAGGAGAGGGGCAGAGGAAGGAAGAGAGAATCCTAAGCAGGCTCCATGCTCAGCACGGAGCCTGACACGGGGCTTGATCCCATGACCCTGGGATCATGACCCGAGCCGAATCAAGAGTCCAACGCTCAACTGACTGAGCCACCTAGGTGCCCCCTACAGTTTACCGTTCTATTCTCCCAGGACATTTTTGAGATTCTAGAGAACCAGAGTTGAAGATTTCTGGTTCGGAGTTTATAAAATGATCAATGACTACTTTCTGTCAGTCTGCAATAGTGAGTTCAAGTTGAATGTATTCCATTTTTTAATTCTGAGAGCATGTCCTCCCCGCTTATTTGGTATTAAGATATCCTTTCTTTATGAGGTGATGGTGCTAGAACTTTTTCTTTCAATGTCCTCACTTAAAAGACAAAAACAAAAAGAAAACAAAAACAAAACAAAAAATCTGGCAGTCCTGGTGACTGATATCAAGCATCTAGCATAGCGATCTAGCACAGCCCTCACTCCTCCAAGGCGAAGCATGACGGAGACCCACATTTTCCAACCCAGTGCAGGGATTAGAGAACACAAAGGTGGGTGCTCTGTCTACACTGTGGGAGGTTCTGTGATTGTTAGAGGAAATTCCAAGCAAGTCACAAAAACTCCTGCCTTCACTAGGTTTTTTCCCAGTTGTATGTTCAATTTTTCTACTTCCTGGTTTCAGTTTCTGCTTTTACTAGACAGAGAGATTGTAGCCCTTGCTGTGCGGGAGGAAGTCACTGGTGCAAAGTTTTCTGAATTAAGCTGACTTATCTACAAGCCACTTCTCCTTACAACCTAAAGTCGGATTCTGGCCAACAGACACTAAGTTTCCTTGCCAGGTTGACCAGTATATGGTCTGTTAAACAGCCACGGAGAATACTTTCTCTGGTTTGAAAAGGAGCCTTTAAGGTTAAAGCACAGTTTCACTCAGTCTGGGGCTGATTGACGAGACCCTGCATTCACTGGGCTCGCTGGTTGACCCGAGATGAGACTATAGAACAACGTGGCTTAGCGTCTGAATCTCTTGACGTTTCGAGAGCCTCACTTCCTTCATCAGGTGGACAGCTTTCTCAAGGTCACCTAGATGGCACCAAGTATCAATCAAAGCCTAGCTTTCAGCCTTAAATCCGAGCCCAGTCTTTAAACTACATCAGTTTAATGGGGCGCCTGGCTGGCTCAGTCGGTTAAGCATCCAACTTTGACTCAGGTCGTGATCCCGCGGTTTGTGAGTTCAAGCCCCGTGTCAGGGCCTGTGCTGACAGCTTAGAGTGTGCAGCCTGCTTTGGATTCTGTGTCTCCCTCTCTCAGCCTCTTGCCTGCTCACTCTCTCTCTCTCTCTCTCTCTCAAAAAGTAAATAAATATTTAAAAAATTAAAAAAAAATAAACTACATCAATTTGTACCGTATTTGAGCAGTGTTATTTAGTAAAGAGAAAACTACCAGCATAAGCCCAGACAGGTGAGGACATTCTTTGCAATAAAAGACTTCTTTCAGCCCCAAAGAGTTGAACCTGATTTACACTTTAAGGGTAACTTTCTTCTTAAAAACTTGAAGGGTTTCACATCTAGTATTTAATTTATTTTTAACACCCACTTCCTTCTACACCCAGTTAAATAGTAAAGAGAAAATGTCCTTTTCTATTTATTGCTTTTATCAGAATCTGAGCGAAATATAATTTGGAAAATGAGAAAAGTATACATTCAAAATTGAAATCACTATAGTTCTTGACCCTTTCAACATGTGGCAGTTTCCTTTTCGTCTCTTATTGCTGGACAGAAGCACTGACCAACAGATGAGAGATTCGTTTTGGGCTGATAGTCCCCATTTTAGAGACAGGAAAACCAAGGCTCTGAAATAAAGTGACACAGACAATCACATTCATTCATTCATTCATTCATTCAAGCAAATTGAGATTTGATGGTCACTCCACAAACCAGATGGGAGTACGATCCCCTGTGGCCTCACCTGTGATTAAGCTGGAGATGATGAGAGGCAGGATAAGCATTTTTAGCATCCTCATGAGTATATCCCCTGGGAAGGCTATTAACATAACCACGTCAGGGTGGAGAGGAGATGCCAAGCGGAGAAGCCCTCCACATACTGCCCCCAGGATGACACCTATAAGGGAGAGGGGAAGATATCTGAATTTATTTTGGGCCCAATAAAGTGACTAACTGTAGGGATTCTGCAACGTTGACCTTTCTCATACTGCTCCATTATCGGACAATGAATAGCACGTAACGAAAATACCATTAGATCGGAAAGTCGACGTTGACGACTAGTGATAGAATACTGTGTACCTCCAACTATTCTAAAAGGCAGTACTGACAGGGTCAAGGAGAGCCCTCTCAAGGCTTTGTGAGAAGGAGGATCAGGTAACTTGACTAACTTCTTTGAAGATACTGTCCACTGGTAGAGTCAGAAATATAGTCAGAAATAATCCATAGTGCCAGATACTGCTTCCCAGGCCCTCCAAGCCTAGGCCTGGCCATTGGTATGGTGTTTAACATATTCCTTCCCTTTCTGACTGGATACCAGATAAAAGGAACATTTGATTTTCCAAGCCGGTGCGAGTTTTCTTTTTCCTTCTATTTTCTTTGGCTCCCAACAATTTCCCCATGGCTCATTCTCAAGTTTTGTCCTTGACTTCTATGTTCTCTTGCATAATCTTTAGACTTGCTGATTTTATGGCAGATTGCGGGGAGGGGGGTTCTCTAAAAGTGTATAATTTGGGAAGAAACAATTTAGGCAGAGTTGCTGGCAGGAGCCTTTCACTTTGCATACTTGGGGATTCCACGAGACAAACTTTGGATCTCTGCAGACAGGAGGCCGACATAAAAGACCCTTGTAGAAACCACGAATCAGGTCATAGCACCACTGGCTAGGAGGGAGGGAGGAAGTTCCTACATCCGTGGGCTATGATGTTAACTCCAGGGATGGGAGGGGAGTGATGTGTCCAAAAGCCTGATGGTTTTTACTTCTACAGGTAAAAAATATACTTCTTTAGAATCTACGATGAGTGAAATTTCTTCACGTGGAAGGTAACCTTTGGAAACCCTACCACACCTCTGTCTTCTTTCATTAAGGAAACTGAGCTGTGGCAAGCCCCCAGTCCAGACCCTGGTCCGCTGACATCCAAGATGACTGACTCAAAGGAGAAGTCATGGAACGGAGTGGGGAAAGGGCAAGGCGTGATGAGTTGTTCATTGCTTCTGTATGCAGCCTAAGTGAGAGCTGAAGAACAAGGAGGGATCGAGAGAGGAAATGATGTGGTTGTCACTACAAAATACTGCAATCTCCCCATTTTCAGTAAACCCTGGTTGAAAACCAAGACCAAGGTGTGTCAACAGTCACACCAAAGGGCAACCACAGCCTGGGCGAGGTCTGAAGCAGAGGAATCAGACTCTTGTGAAGGAGCCAGACCAGATCCAGGCTTCTGGACAAACCTCTTCTACCCTGACCTCATTAGCTAATGTACTAATTTAATCTAAGTTAATGAGGGTGTTCGTAGGTGACACGTTGGGAGCCCTCTTCGTGGGGTTTTCAGCAACTGCTGCCTTTATCTCCATGCAGGTATTTCTCTAAGTGTGGTATGCTGACCATCTGTCTTGGAACCACCTAGAAGATTTGTTAAGATGGAGATTCGAAGGCCTCACTGCGGATGGGCCAAAGTCTCCGTGTGCAGGGCCGGGGAATCCGTGTGTTCACACGCTCACAAGAGGTGGTGAGGACCACTAGAATCCCAAAGGAGAAAACAGATAGCTAGGGCAGGTGGATGGGAGACTGTATCGTCAAGGCAGCCGTGCCTGGGCAAAGGAGGCCTTAGGCTCCTTTACAGGGGGAGGGGCTTCTTTTACAGGGGGAGGGCGGCCTGTGGGAGCCAGCTTCCCCACAGAGCCCGGAGACAGCCAGAGAAGACAGGCAGGCCCTGTCACCTACCAAACACGGTCAGTGTGAGCAGGAGATTCTTCCCCAGCTTGTCACACAGGCGCAGGCCCAGAGGCCGGTGCTTCGGCTCCTCCGAGCTGAGATGGCTGTCGTGCATCCGTACTTCGACCTGCTTGGGCATGTTGTTGGCACTGCAAGAAGAGGAAAGGTCGTGGTGAGGGCCTGCTGGGTGCCCCCCTTGTGCAGTCTGTGGGGCTCAGGTAATAGCAGGTCAAACAGGCCTCCCGCCAGGCACGGTGGGGGTATCTAGAACCCCTGGCAGGAAAATAAAAACCAGAGCAACTCGGGATTCTGAATTGCAGTTACCTGTAGGCAGGACGCCAGGACACATGGAACATCTACGCACCAGGCACTTTTATCCCTAGCATCTTGGATCATCATAGTAAAGAAAAGGCATACCACAAGGCAGGGTGAGGTTCTTCCAAGAGTTGCCCACCATGGCAACTCTGAGAGGCAAGTATTTCGGCTCTGTTTTCCAGAGAGTAACTTGCTCAGGGTCACAAGGCCAGAAGAAATAGAGATACAGGGGCGCCTGGGTGGCTCAGTCCATTAAGCGTCTGACTTTGGCTCAGGTCATGATCTCACAGCTCGTGGGTTCTAGCCCTGCGTCAGGCTCTGTGCTGACAGCTCAGAGCCTGCAGCCTGTTTGGGATTCTGTGTCTCCCTCTCTCCCTGCCCCTCCCCGACTCGTGCTCTGTCTGTCTGTCTCTCTCTTTCAAAAATAAACATTATAACATTTTTTTAAAAAAATAAAAGAAATGGAGATATCAACCCAGCTATATCTGCCTCCAAAACCTGAGCTCTTTCATTCTTGTATCAATAGCCCAAAGTTACCTTTGGGTTATCTCAGGTCAGAAGAGTCATGACCTAAGTCACGCTAAATTCAAATGCCTCTGAGCTCAAGCCTTCCCAATCCTGGTCATGGAAAAGTCATAAATGTGGGCGGTCCAAGTTTTGCCTCTCTTTTGGAAAGCATGGTCTATCTAGTTTTTTAAAAATTCAATCAACTGTGGTTTTTATTTTTTTTTTATTTTTTTTTTTATTTTTTTTCAATGTTTATTTTATTTTTGGGACAGAGAGAGACAGAGCATGAACGGGGGACGGGCAGAGAGAGAGGGAGACACAGAATCGGAAACAGGCTCCAGGCTCCGAGCCATCAGCCCAGAGCCCGACGCGGGGCTCGAACTCACGGACCGCGAGATCGTGACCTGGCTGAAGTCGGACGCTTAACCGACTGCGCCACCCAGGCACCCCTCAACTGTGGTTTTTAAAAGGTCATCTGCATTATCAGGGCTTTGCTAAGCTGCCCAAGAGTCATGCTACTCAGCGTCAAAGAAGTGTGGCTTTAAGAAGCACGTGATCCCCTTCAGCCCTCAGTGCAGCCCAGCCCTTTCCCAGATAAGCCCCATGCTGTGATGAGAGTCTTACAGGGGTGGTTGCGGGGAATGAGTACACTGCCTCTTTTTCCAGCTTGGTCATTGGCAGGCCAGTAAGATTTCAAATTTAGGCTTGGAGATTCACATCGGGAGGCCAATTTTTTTTATTTCGCCAGCTTAAGACCCTTTTGTTCGTTGCCATTTACAATCGCCATCGTGTGATTTAAAAAATCCTTTAAAGATTCTGTGTCTCCCTCTCTCTCTGACCTTCCCCCATTCATGCTCTGTCTCTCTCTGTCTCAAAAATGAATAAACGTTAAAAAAAAAAATTAAAAAAAAATCCTTTAAGTCTTTAACACCGAGAAAGACAGGTCATGGTCTCTGAATAAATGGCAATGCCTTCTAAGATGGGAGGGAGCTAGCCTTACCCAGATATTGTCTCCAGAGATTGGGAAAGCCTTCCTTTGGAACCAGTATCAATCGGCGGACCAGGGGTTTGGAATCACTGGTTATAATGGAAAGCATGTGGGCTTTGGAGACAGGGAACCTGGGCTTTAAATCATGCCTCCATCACTTGCTAACTGTGTGGTGTGTCGAAAGAAGGCCTTGGGGCGCCTGGGTGGCTCAGTCAGTTAAGCGTCCGACTTCGGCTCAGGTCGTGATCTCGCGGCTTGTGGGTTTGAGCCCCGCCTCGGGCTCTGTGCTGACAGCTCAGAGCCTGGAGCCTCTTCAGATTCTGTGTCTTTCTCTCTCTCTCTGCCCCTCCCCCACTCACACTCTGTCTCTCTCTCTCTCTCTCTCTCAAAAATAAATAAACATTAAAAAAAAAAAAGAAAGAAAGAAGGCCTCAATGCCTACCTTGCGGACATTAAACATGGTAAGATAGGTTAGGGGCCTCGCATGACACCTGGCATAGGTTGTGACTTTCTCCAGGCAGCACGGGCACACACCATATTCATCAAGTTCATTACAAGGGTGACGTTTGCTCCACCATTCCAACAAGACACCAAGCTTAGCTTCCAGAGTCTCAGATTTAAGACCAGGGGCCCAAATACAACTACGTCCTCTTTCCTAACAGGCTCCTTAATATACTCGCTACCAAAATGTTTTGAAATTAGGAATGATGTCTCATGATCTGGTTAGACTACCCAAACGAAAATATTAGTCAAAATATCAGCATCTCGGTCTCCCCTTCGTGGCCTAATTATCTACTCAATCTAGTTAGTTTTGGGGCAGCCTCTGACTAGCTGTCATGTGTGTGCTAATGATCACTCAGACTGTCTGAAAAAGAAAGTAGGGCATGACTGCTCGCAGCAAGCACATGAGGGCCAATCTGGTCAGCAAGCAAGAAACACCACTTCCTCTAATCTCCACGGGAAACAGACAGAAAGGCTCTTTTTACAACACAGCAGGGGAAAATGATCAAAACGATCTTTTTTAACATGGGTAGACCATATGTCTCCATTGGGATCTTTTGATATTTTTAAGCAGTTCTCCAGACAGTAAGCAATCTAAAGCTCCAAACCAGGAAGCGGCCAACAAAGAACGGAGGCCGTGTGTGTTTTGAAATGGCGAGTGCATCCGTCAGCCAGCCTTTGGCATCACTCTAGGTCCCCTTGAGATTGTAAACCCCTCTGCCTCCTGCTTCATTTGAATCCCTTTTGCCACTGAAGTTAGACTCAGGCACACGATTGGTATTTAAGTGAGACTAGCAAGCATTTCGACCAAATGCTCTGGCAAGATCCAAAGGATATAATGAAAGTGTCAGGCACCAAAACAGCCACGTCAAAGTGAAGACACGCCAGTGTTAGGTAAACGCACACACGCAGTCCAGCAGTGTGGCTGAGTGATGCGCACAATTCTTAGTTGTACGCACCTGCTGTATGTTTAATGGTTTGTTTCTCAGGCCATGACAAAATGTCCCCGAAACCCTGAATCAAAACGGCCACATCAAAGTGGCAGCATCAAAATGCCACGAACCCACATGTATTTATTGAGAGGATCCCTGTGACTTCCTCAGCTCCCTTGAAATTAACCAGATGCTCATAGGCTCAGAGGAGGTTCTGACATGGGCTCGTAGAGAATGATTTGCGACGTACATCAGGAACCCAGCTTGCATCTAGGAACACAAAGTCCCCTAAGAACTCTTGGTAGCAATTCTATACCAGCCTACATGATCACCACATCACCAGAACACGGGAGAGCCTGAAGTGGGGAATATTATAGAACACAGCATCAGATCATACGATACAACAGCACAGAGCTGTTTGTAAGACTTATACCTACATGGCATATGAATGCTGGTTACTGAATGCACATAATAACAGTGGCAGTAACAAGGATACCTGGTATTTACCAAGTATTTTATATGTCAAATGCTATCCTCAGGAGAGAGTAAGGTGTAATCCCTGCTCTTAAAGAGCTTGTCAAGGGAATCTGCTTTACACGTGGGCCGTGGTCAAGCTCTGCAGGGGGTGCTGGGGAAATGGGAAAAATGGTACCCAACGTAGCTTTGGGGAAGAACAGTGTTCAAGGACAGCTCCCAGGAGGGCTGACACCAGAGTTGTATCTTAAAGAATGGATCTAATTCAAAGGTCTATATCCGTCACCGGTCCGTGAACCCTGGGAGAGCAGGGCTGGATCTTTCACACCTGGTACCAAGGGCTTGATGACTATTTGCTCGAAGAAATTATAAACTGGAAAGCAACTACAAAGGGCAGGCACCTTCCTTTCTCCTGGGAATGAGGCCCTTTTATGGACAGAGTGGCAGCATATCGCTTCTGCAAGCCTCTTTCCGGTCTTGCGTTTACTCCACAGATTTCTACTGGACACATACGACAGGTCCCATGCTGTTCTGGATGCTAAAGATATCACAATAAACGAAGCAAGCAGAACCCTTGCTCTCATGCAGTGAACATTTTAGTGGAACAACAAATAAATGGACGCACATATTTCACGTGGAAATACGCGCTGGGAGGAAACTGACACGTGGGGAGGAGGCGTGCTGTATTTTGCATCAGGTGGCTGGGGAAGGCTTCTGTGATAAGGGGGCCTTAAAACCAAAACCTGCAGGGAATGAGGGCTCTCCTACATGAATCAGGCAATTTATCCAGAGCTTAGGAAATACATGGAATGTACACCGTTTAGAAACCTGTATTTCCACACTGGAGCCTGAAGCTCCCACCAGATGCAACTCCGGGTGTCTACATGCTGGTTTCTTAGCACGGGCACTGATTCAAATGAATGTCGAACCAGTAACGCCGCGCTCTATTACCATCATGCATATGATGGGGAGTTTCGGCTGTCCCAGCTCCCAGCAAGAGGAATGAGACCAGGGAGAGGTGAGCTGGACACCAAAGGAAGGCTAAGGTCACAACAGCCTGCACATTTGCTTCCCTGGCAATGAACAGAAAGGGCAAGACCTGATACGGGCAAGCTCACCGGAGAAACACAGTCAGTTATTTCGAGTGTGTGCACTTTCCCCCTTATCATTCCTCCCTTCCTACAACCTGTGCCTGTGTACACAGAAAAGCAATAAGGAGTTTAGAAGCTCAGGTGTGCCTTGGTGAGATCAAGTCCATCCAGCCTGATGCTGGCCAACCCCGCTGACCACCTGTTTCCACTTGAGTGCCTTCTGGATGGAACATTTAGCAATGCAACTCCTTAACACTGGAAGTTCTACATGCCAATTCCGCTGGATCGCTCTCTATTGGCCCACAAAGGAAGGCCATGTGATGGGACATCTGTTTGGATAA